GGTGGTTATGATAGCGAATCTAAAGTGAAGAGAAAAATAAGCAGGCTGCTGCCTCCCAACGTCAAGCAAGTGCTGACAAAAGCAATATTTAAGACCTAATGAGCTACACTTACATAAATAACCAGGGAGAAGAAGAAGAAGAAGATGCTTTTGGAAAAGGGGGCAGGAGAACAGAAATCTGGGAATATCTTCTTATCGAATAAATCAGTTACCTGAATGGGGAAATTTTCCGGTTTGGAAGCTCCATATCTGGGACTCGAAAACGGCAGGACCTTCAGGCATCCAAAACGAGAGATTGTTGCCATATTCAGCACTCGAGTCGGTCCAGTCTCACACCCTTCTCCAAGTAGTACCCCACGACGGCAAGAAATTTTTCGTTTTAGGAAAGTAAAAACCAAAACAAAATCTGCAAAACTCTTCAACGACGAAAATAGTGCGTATATAAATATATCCCAGATTCCAATATTCTCAGCAATGGAAGAAATATTTGGTCAGATAAGGAATAACCCAAATCTCAGGAACCAAATAAATAAAAATAAAAGCACAGTGTGTGCTTAATATCAAAGGAAACCCCAAAAGATGGCGGGGAGTTTGAGATTTAGATAGGAACAGTAATCAGGGTTTTTCCACTAAACAACAACGATATTCGAAGGATTTTTCTGTTAAATATGAATAGTAATTGATTTGTACCATCAAAATTACATAAATATATATATATATATATATAAGCAGGAAAGGAGCATCAAAAGCCGTGCTATCAAGTTTCCATGGAAATCAATGTCAAGAAAAAAGAAACAACACCAGAAGAGTTTCCATGAAAAAATCAGAACCACAGAGAATAAAATAATAATATTGCAATAGATAAGAATAAACTGACAAATTAAGAGTGTGATGGCGAAAATTGTACAATACAGTGGCACCGCTTGGATGTTTAGAGAGGCCGCTTCAACTCCGCCAGTGTTGTTGTTCCATTTGTCCATCAGAGGATGAAAAATGAAGGGGGTACCCAATATAGAGAGGAACGGAGCAAGAGGACATCTGGCCCCTGACAATATGAACCAGAGAGAAGAAAGAAAGAAAGGGACATTGGTATAGAATAGGGTCTTTGATGAGCGAGCAGCGGGCAGTGAGAGTAGAAGAGAGAGAAGAAGAGATCAGAAGGGAAAATAATGGGGAAGCTGACAGAAAGAGAAGTGAGCACGCACCCGCAGAGGTATGCTCTTCATACATTTGGCTGCAGCGTGTGCTCACTCTCTTCTGTCACTCTCTTACCCTTCTGGTCTCTCCTTCCATATTCCATCATAAAATCTCTCAACAAAACCCAACAATTTCCCTTCACTCATCTAATCCATCACCTTAAACCCCACCCATTTATGGAATCAATAAACCCATAAAAGAGATAACCACTTTAGCCCACCCCATGAGAAAAAATTTCCCTTCTTTCTTTGTCAGACATTTCATCATACATCTTCTCTGCATCCTTCCTTCCATATTCTTGTAATATTAAACTCCTCTCAACTCTCATGTATTTCCATCATCGACACCAGCAGAAACCGGCAAGGAGAAAGCGAAATAGGGTTTCGCTATTACATCCATAGATATACCCATTTCACACGCCATCAAAAGCAAAAAACAACAAAACAACCCTGACATCTTAACAACTTTTCTCTTTCTAAAATACGCATCTGGGAAAGCCACCAATGACAATTCCACCACCACCACCACCGTTGGTGGAGAGCGAAACAGATCAGAGGGGCGGTAGGGACAGTGTTACAAAATATGTACAGAGCGCCAAATTTACGAGCGGAGGGGAAGCAAAGGACGAAAGGAAGAGGACATGACAGTCCATCGAGTGGTTTTTTGTGGGACCGTTATCTTCCTCAACTTGTAGCTGTAAGGTAAGCATTGTAAATGTGGTCTACGTGGACCAATCAGATCCCGCCACTGACTTCATGCCCTAATCCTCAATGCTTTCCTTCAGCCATTTTTAAATTCAACCACATTTTCCACCGTCCGATTTTCTTCTCAATATAATCTCTTAATAAATATATTATATAATTTTTTTTTTTTAAGTATACTATTATTGTAAACTAATCCCAATTAATTCACCTTTCACTTTTAATTCTATGATTCATGACTCTATCTTAATAATCTTATAATCTTGTAATTAAAATAATTCTATATATTCATGAATTTTAAATTTTGAATAAATTAAAAATTAATTAGATACATTCAATTTTTTACAAACTATCAAATTGGTATAATGCAACAAAAGAAACATGAAGATTAAATAAACTCCAACTTTTTAAAAATAATAAAACCATATTTTTAACATAAAAGATTTGTATTTAGGTTGTGGTCGGAACATTTTCATTTTATACTTTCTTAAAAGGTATAAAACTATAGAGAGGCTCAATGAAATAGACATGTATTAGCTAAATAAAGAAACCCTATGAAGATTCACTTTCCATAATATTATTGGCTTTCGAGCTTTCCTGTGGGTGAAGAGTGTCCTCCATTAGTGAATACCACTCTGAAATACCTAGAATTCTAAAAATTGTTCTAACCTATTGGTCAACGCACATTTACACTCTTGCCGTTTATAAAAAATAAAACAAAAAAAAAATTATTGTCTTAAATACCTCTCGATTTTTTTATGCTAACTCTTGAAAGTTAATAAGTGGGTTTTTCCAAATTAAAAAATAAAAAATAAAAAAATTTAAAAGTATTTTTTAAATAAAAAAATTTAAATGTTTTAAAATTTCTAAATTGAAGTGTATTTTTTAAACATTCGAATGCTTGTAAACAATTATTAAAACTATTTTTTTAAAAAAATTAAATTAAAAAATATTATTTAAATCATGATAAATTTGTGTGTATTTACTAAACAAGTCCAAAATTTAAAACTTTAATAAGATTTTAAAAACACGTACACAAAAATAAAAGGGAAATGATTGTGAAATAATTTGGGGGGAGATCAAGAGTTAACGACAAAAAATGATGCATTAATAATTGGAGTAAACATGATTTAGTAACTAAATAATAGCACAAAATGAAAAGAAAATGATTTAAATTTGAAAAGACAAGACAATGTCTTATCCAATTTATATGTTTATAAATTCACTTTTAAGTAACTAATTTTTTTTTATTATATTATAAAAAAAAACATTTGAATTTTTAATCCGAAACTTTTTTTAAAATAAAAATAAAAATAATTCATGCAATTAAAGGTTCGACATTCCTTTGTTTAATTCTAATGATTTTTTAAAATTAATATTTACATTTTCTACCTATTGAATAAATAAATGAAATAAAATTTAAACAAAACATATAATGGAGACAGAATAATTTATTATGTGGGGATAACAATGGAGAAGTGACACCCAACCTAGTGTTGGATGATGAAAGTCCCACATCGGTTAATTTAGGGAATGGTCATGGGTTTATAATCTAAGAATACACTCTTCATTGGTATGAGGCATTTTGGGAAGCCCAAAACAAAGCCATGAGAGCTTATGCTCAAAGTGGACAATATCATACCATTGTGGAGAGTCGTGTTCGTTTAACATGGTATCAGAGCCATGCCCTAAACTTAGCCGTGTCAATAGATTGACAAATCCTTAAATGTCGAACAAAGGACTCCAAAAGGAGTCAAGCCTCCTCGAAGGTACGAAGGCAGTCAAAAATGACTAAGACTCCAAAGGAGTCGAGCCTCGATTAAGGGGAGGCGTGCTTTGTTCGAGGGGAGGTGTTGGATGATGAAAGTCCCACATCGGTTAATTTAGGGAATGGTCATGGGTTTATAATCTAAGAATACACTCTCCATTGGTATATGGCCTTTTGGGAAGCCCAAAGCAAAGTCATGCTCAAAGTGGACAATATCATACCATTGTGGAGAGTCGTGTTCGTCTAACATTTAGCAGTATCTTCATAATTTTGACATAAAAAATTGAGTGCCATAAGGATTTTAAGTACCAAACCAAGCTAATAGGAACTTTACAAGTTTGGGGCATACATCACACGTGTTGAGTTTGGAGGTCGACTCTATCCTCACCCTCGGCTATGAGGGAGATTTGGGGTTCGACCCAACCTCATCTCCACCCATATATAGTTCAACCACACTTGATCTAGCTACATATACTATGGATTTGAGCACAGTTAATCAATTCAAGAAAGGTGTCCAATGAAAGAAGAAAAAACAAAAGAGTTTCAAATCTTATCCACACAAGCTTGGATATGGATGAATCGTGGATGGATATGGGACGATGAAAAGGAATCAAACACATAATAGCTGGTACAATTCGACATCATTGTACATTAAAATTACGTACCATTATATTTGATGTCGATAATAATAACTGTCATTTCGTACCAAGGCATTTTTAGTACTATATATATTTAGAATAGCGATGTGGAACCCTTCAAACATCTCTAAACAGGGAGGGGTACAAGGTTATAATTTAACAATTATGTTATAAAATTAAAATTAATAATGTTAAATAAAATAAAATGTTATGTATTTATTTTTAATTTGGAAAATATTAAACTTTGAAAGAAACTATAAAATTATTAGCAAATGAAATTTAAGAATTAAAATCAATATGATTTAAATCACAATAATAAACTTTTGGATTTAAATATGGATAGACCAAAAGGAAACGAACGGTGAAATGAAAATGAAAATAAATTATTATTAATGTAATTAAATTATTGAATTTCATTTTGGTATTTTTCGAGTACCGACAGAAACAGTCCAATGTATTTCCCAGCTCTGACCGTTTCCCAGACCTGAAAAAGCAGATATCATTTCAATTTGACTTTTTTTTATTATTATTATTATTATTTTTTTTTTTTTACGGTTCTTTTTAATAGCAAAAATATATATGATAAATTATTAAAAAATTATTATAATTAAAATTTCAAAACTACCCTTGAGAATATACGGAGCCCAACATGATTGGGCCGAAATCTGAAGCCCTTAAGCGGCTGAGGGAAATTGGTTGAACGATCGAAAACCCCAACCGCGAAAGAAACCAAGCAACAATAGCATAGCATCTCCGTCTCTGTTGTAGCAACTATGGCTCTCGAAACTGATCCGTCTGGAGGCTCGGAAGAAGTTCACACCGATGTTCTAGCGGAATTCAGACAAGCTTGCTACAAGGTTATATTTCTCAATCGCTCACTTATTCTCTAGATTTCTGTTTCATAAGAATCCTTGAGTGTTGATTTGGCAATTTCATGCATCTGAACAAGGCTCGCGATGCTTTTTATGCTTGTGTGGAGAAGGAATCAGACAAGAAGCCCACTGAAATTGCTTCTGTTGGCCTTCTTTATCCCGCTGAGTGTAAAGCCTCCAGGGCTGAGTTTGTCAAACTTTGTAGGGCTTCTTGGGTAAATTTCATGTCCCGATCACTGAAGATTTTATTAATCTGTTGGTTCTTAGAATTCATGGTTTGAAGGGTTTTTGATTTCTAGTGTTTATGATTTGGTTGGTAGGTGAAGCATTTTGATAGGAAGTTTTGTCAGAACAGTAGGGTTCAAAGACTCTTAGATGACAAAGATTCGAGGAGAGGCCCTTTGGTACTTCCGCAGCCTTACACTTTCAAGCCCACTAGTTGAACAAAACACCATCCCCAGGCAGAACTATTTTGGGCGGTCAGAATCTCATGACTATTGTTATTTTGTTTTGTTTTCTTTTTTTCCTTCTCTTACTTTGTACAGAGATGATTGTGGCAATAAACTTCATAATAATGCACTCTTCTTACCAACTTACAAAAGCCTATTCCTTTCCTGTCATACATTTAATTTGAATTTATAGTAGGATCTACTTCTAATCAGCAAAATGAAAAATTATTCAATGAGACATCTAAAATGTGGCTGCGCCTTAATAATTGTGGGAAGTGGATTCAAAAATCTGTATGCCCCTTAATAACCATTTGATATAAATTTGAAGTATTTGTGCAGTTTCTGTTTCCTACTCCCAACAGTATAACTACTAGGCAGATGGTGGCGATCTTCATGAATAATTTCTCCCTAAAAACTTGTGAGTTTGTTATCTAGTTAAAATTTCTTATTCTCTCTGTTCCAAATATGTTAGTCTTGGTCTTGGTAGTGGATTCATACTGTTTGGATGCTTTGATAGTTTGTAGAAATGCTACTTTGTTTGTCTTCCATATTGAATTCTCGACTGTTTTACTTCTTTTTATCGGAAGGTTAGTAGATTATGAATGTGCTTGCTTGGCTCGTTATATGAGAATTGCTTAAGGTTCCTGTAAAGAAATGACCTCTTGATCACAATTTGAGTAGGGGAAATGTGAAGTGCATGGGAACTATTGGCTGAATGCATTAAGTCAAAGTAGAATAATGTTGTTTTTAGCCTTTAGAAAAATATATTCAACTCAATGAAGTGATATCTCATGGTCATGGAAGCCCGAGTTTGGATCATCCCTCCTTATGGATACATTAGCTGATCTTGCTTTTAGACGCTTGGCATCGGACACGTGACTTTAACTTTCCTTTTCAGCCACGAAGTGTTCCTTCATGACCTTTCTAGAAAGTATCAAATCTTTGATCATTCTCTTTTGCTACATGATGTCGAATTAGGAGGAAAAACAACTTTTGACTCAATGCGACCGTTGGCGCATCACTTGGACATAAGTTACATAGACGCACAAAAGTGTCTGCCAATTTTAGGCTCTCTTTAAATAAAAAATCCATTTCTTCAATGAACTTGAACTAATCATTGGCCCAATGGATTTCATTCGCATGAGAGGCTTTCGGTCAATTGAGGTGAAAGATGGTTGATGACAGGATTTCTTCCAATTTCTATGAAATCTTTTAATTTCTTATTTACTTATAAATACCCTAGAGAAAGTACCCTTTTTTCTAATAATGGGAAGTTGCTTATAGGAAGTATTGATAAGCTGGACAAGATTCGGGTCGGTATCCTTCATTTTCTTGAAGATTTTTCCTGACAGGAATTATGACATAACAACCAATGACCAATTTGAGAGGGTCAATGCCCTCTCCACACTTGTCAGACTAGAGAAAAATCACCATAAAGTCGGATAGACCAACTCCAAATTCTAAAACATAACAACTTATTGGAAAGATAAATTATAACTAAGGAAGCTATAACCTCCTATTAAAAAATATTCAAATATAAATAACTACATCAAACTGCTGCTGGGACTCGTTATTTGTGGCCACATTTTCCATTCTGCCCTTCATTGAATAAACTTTCACAATTTGAGTTCATTGAATAAACTTTCACAATTTGAGTTCTAACAGATTCAAAGCGAAATCCTAAATTATTTAGTTCCTTTCACTCTTACAGCTGGGTTTATGTGCAAAACCAGTGAAGAATACCAAGATCATTTCTCCATTGCTTGCCCCATTGCCCAGACCAATCTTTTTCTGAAAATTTTACTCAGTCGACGAATCTGATTGTCATAGCGAAAAAAGGGGGTTGTAAGCCACAAAAGTCTATATCTGTTCTTCGGTTTCTTGAGAAAGACAGCATCAAAATTTTGATTTGATGACACCAGCATGTATTCTTGTGGTGATTCTTGAAATACTTAATTGCGTAAGATACTGCTTCTAGGAAAGGCTTACTATGAATGCAGTGATCCCCAGGAGGTTTCTTAGTATTGATTGAATGCCGTGGGAGTAAGACTGCTGATCAAGATAGGTTTCAGATGGGTTAAGAGCCCTTGTTAAAGGACATCATTTTATTAGGGAAACTCATTCTTTTACCCTTGTGGTAAATTAGGGCAACTCTTAATGGTAAAATGCGTTTAGGATTGTAATTCTACCCTTTGGGGAAGGGACTTCAGGAGATGATAAGAATTAAGATGAACTTTAGATAACACAATACAATTGAAATAGTTTAATAGGCTAGTCTAACTCAATGTCCTTGAGAAATTCCAAGCTGTTGTAAGGCTAGTTGAACTCAATGCCATTGAGAAATTCCGAGCTCATTGTACTATCCAGAGAACTTGAGATTCATCTGACTAACAATCAATTCTCTGATCCGGTTCTTAACCTATTGATCTCGAGGACATCCATCAAATTGACCAACAGATGGATCAATTATATTGTTGGACATTTCAACATAGAAGAGACACAAGGGCTGGTCTTTCATATTGCTGCTTCATTGTCCTTTTGTAGCCAAAAGTTGGTCTTTCATTTTGAAAGAATTGATTTTTGTTGGGGACAAGTTTTAGGGGAAAGGCAAAGATTCTTTGGTGCTGTGCTGTGAAAGCAACCCTTTGGACGACTTGGAAAGAGCAAACCTTAGAATATTTGAGGATAGTTTGAGTTTAGAATATTCTTTTGTTTATAATATACAGTACTCGGCTTCTTGGCGGGAGTTCAAGTCACATAGAATTTTGGTGTACCTACAGCCTTGGCATGATCATTAGAAATTGGAGGCCTTTTTGTGTTAGTTCTTCTGTTTGGGGAGGGGTTCCCTCTACTCCTTGCCCTAAGGCGGCCTTCCTTTTTGTTTCATAAGAATATAGATATGCACATATATTATATAGAGAGGGATACAATAGATTCGATATAATTGAATAATGCCGTAGAAAATACTTATACTCTTATCCACACATCTCAGATAGGATGCACAACAACAGGATTTGTATGAGGAATTAGTTGAGGTGTACAAGTTGTTTGAAGACTCTTTTCGTGAATAGAGATGTGTTCATGGGGTGCATCCCATCCATTTGAGACAAAATTATCTGCAATGGAATTTGTGGGAATTGGATTTTAGGAGTATTTTAGTCTCTATTGATTGACTGATTTCTTTATTAAAATTTCAAATAGTTAACCTTTGATGGAAGATATAACTCAACTATGGTTACTTTTAAGAGTAGTGAACTACATGTTTAATCGTTTTCCTCTCCTTATCAAGGGTGTTTAATTAAAAAGAAAGGTGAATTCAAAGTCAAAATTGAAGATATTATTTGTTAATTCATTCAACCATGATTTAGTATTGGCTTTGCCTTTGCATACTTTTGGTTGAGAAAAACAACATGGGATATAATTTGTTCTCAGCCGAGTATTAATAAATTTTTGTTTGTATTTGGGATTGAGCTAACATCATTATCTAAAGCTAACCATTTCCTTTTCTTTTTGCTTTTCTTTTTTTTTTTTTTTTTTATTTTATTTTAATTAAAGCAAATAAAAGAACTAGCTATTAATACTTTTTTCATTATTATTATGGGTTATGTTAATATTTTGTAAACATTCTGGAAAGGTCATTAAAAAAAAAAAGTTAAATCAATATCCTATGCCTTTGCCTTTGCTTCTTAGGATATTTCTTAGGATATGGTGTAAAGGAGAAGCTTTTGATGTCAGAAGGAAGTGCCTTTGCCTTTGCCTTCGGCTTTGCCTTTGCTTTTTAAGGCCACCCCACAGAAACCCACAAAAAATACGGCGCCGAATTGTGAAAGATGCCTTATTTTTCATTGAAGACTTGTATAGTAGTTGACTGCTTTCTTATCAAACAAAAACATAAAAAAAGGTCAATCGGAGGCCGCGTCCTTGACGGATCCGTTTCCCATGCTCGTCGACTGCACTGTTAACACCGACATGCTCGGCGACGACGGCCCTTCGCCGTTTGATCCCATCACTGGATGCCCGCCGCTGCCGTTGATAATCGGATTCCTCGAGGGACACGTGGACGTCGAAATTGCTGTTGCCAGTGATATCGGCATAAGACAGAGTCCTTTCCCTTGCAAATACTGCATCGCCGATCCCATATCCTTCTCCATCAGCCTCGCCACCTGCTGCTCCGTCACTGTCACACTGTCGTTTGATGACGCCGTTTGGTTTCCTCCGCTGCCGTTTGAACTCCGCCCACCTTGCATACACTCACCACCACCCTGAAGCGACACCGTTTCATCAATTAGTACATATAAACGAAAACGACAGGCAAACCAGAAAGAAAGAAAGCTGATAAAAGTTTCCGCATGCATGCGGCCCTTTTTTCCTTTTGTCGTCTTCTGCTAAAAGTAAATTTGTGCCGTTTAAATTTTATTTTTAAATAGTTTGAAATAATTTTACAATTTGTTAATTTCCAATCCTTTTTAATTAAACCCATAAATCATAATTATGCACGTCCAAAAAAAAAAAAAAAAAAAAAAAAAAAAAA